TGCGTGAAGCTTGACCCCGCCGGCACGCACACGCCGCGCGAAGAAATGCCACACGACGGTGTGTAACGAGCCAGGAACTGCCGTATTAACGGATCGGATTTTAAACGAGTTCGTTTTCGCGCGCGCGGGTCCTTTCGATTTAGCTTCGTTGCTCGTCACTTCCCATTCGCGAGCTCGCCGCCAGTCGTGCATTCTTCTTACGCGAGAATGAAAGGAATCCTCGTCGCGATTCCGCGCGCCGAATAGTCGTCTGACGTTCGTGGGAAATATCGTCTCGACAAGCTCGGTCTCGCAAAAATCTGCACGTGCTGTGAGATCTCCCCACCGATCGCCGCGAGTCACGTGCGAGTTGCGTTCGACAAAGACGCCGCGCGGATCGCGTGAACGAGAGGGAAGGACACTTCCGCGACACGAATGCTCGCTAATTACCGGTGTAGGTAAGTAGCGAAGTCCAGTCGATGCATCCTCTCTTCCTCTCTCTCTCTCTCTCTCTCTCTTTCGATTCTCAAGTCGTTCTTTCTCCCGTCGAATTTCACCCTCTCGTCGACGAAACTGGTAGTCCCATCAGTCGAGTGCATCACCAATGCGTCGTTACGCAACCGCCCATCGGATCGTCCGACACGGCTTTCTATATCTCGCATCGACATTCGCCTGGACGAATCGCTCTCGTCGGTCTTGTGGCATTGACTTTTTCACCGCGTTATCTCTCGCGATTTCTCCATTTGCTCATAGTCGTTAGCATTCACAGAGAATCCAAAGTTGCTCCATCGACATTGTGTCAGCGTGATCATAGAATTCGCGGTGGGACGATCGTCCGACCGTAGATCTCCCCGGTTCGAGTTTAGAGGACTCTATATATCGGGATTTTCATCGCGACACACAGTTTTGAATTCAAGCTTTCGAGCCACGGCTCGGATCTCTCTCGGGATCTGACCGTAGTTTCGAAGCGGCCGCGAAATCACCGGCCAAACAAATTCAAGCGACATAACGGACGTGAAAAGACCCTTCGAGATCGATATATTGCGGGCGAATGTGCGAACGCGCTTTCCGGATACTAACGCGGTGCTTGGACGTCCCGCGAAAGCTCATATCTAGTAATTCCCCGCGAATCGCCTGATTGAGCACTACCAGCTCGCATCTACATCAATGGCTGGCGCGACCGCAGTGAAACGTAATATCAGACACGAAGATAGACGGCAAACCACACCGCCGGTATTCAGCTTCCCCGTGCATGTCAATGACGCCGCGTCCTCACGTACATGAGATGAATGCGACAGCGTCTTTTAAACGCACGACAGCCGGGGCAAAAGCGCGATTTCGCACGGTTCTCAAAAACATCATTCGTCCATTTTAGCCATCACGTGGCGATTGTGTAAGAGAGATAAGTACGTTTATCCCAGCTCTAGAACTTCTTTTTTTAAATGAGAAAAAATTAGATGTTTGACTAAATAAGTAAGAAAAAGTGAGGAAAGTGAGTCGCTCCTATGCCTAAAGTACGTATAATGGGATGCGCAAAGTCGCACTCAGATGGCTGATGAGCGAAGTTGCTTTTAAAGAAAGAGAGAGAGAGAGAGAGAGGGTGACGCGTCGAGAAATATTAAAAAAAATGTATATTAAGATACAAATAGATGTCCCCGCAGAATCCAGATTGGAAAGCGAGGGAAACGCTCTCTAGCGCGACAGAAGAAGGGCCGCGTAACCTGGATCGAATTGACAATGTCAAAGGAGTTTTATCGGCGACTCATCGGCGAAGTGCTAATCCATAATGGACGAGTCCGAGTCTTTGGACTCGAACGCGCGACGAAACGGTTCGGGCCGCATTCAGTCGCTTGCTGCGCGTTTCCGTCAATCACGTCGCGCGAAAATACAGCGTGAAATCTGGCACGATACCGCGCGCGAATGCGGAGCGCTTCTAATATCGGAAGCGGAAGCTAAAATAGCTCGCGAAGATTTGAATTTGTAGAAAACGCCCCCCTCTCGCCGGCAAAGAAAGAAAATTCCGTCGACGGGTGTTTATTCAACGAGTCGGCTTTGCGAACACCTCTTTTTTACCGTCTATCGTTATTACGCTTCTGGGCTTTTTCGGGCGCACGATTTCAGCGCGGGGACAACGCGCGGCGAAGAAGCCGGTCGGCGCGAAGTCAGATGAAGCGAATCGCCGCGAACGCCGAGGCACGCGGTCGAGCGTAAATCATTTCCTGGCGCGAATCCACGGCAATCGGCCGCGCCAGGACTCTCCCGACTCAGCCTCGTCTCTCTTTACTGCGCGTTTCGCGGGACGAGAAACGCCGGGATCTAATTCCGGCCTTCGAGCGTGCGAAACGAATATAGCGGTCGCTGTTGACGCGATAAACGCGCCGACCGGCGATCCGATGGTGCGCGTTTGATTCATCGTCCGCGGCGTGAATGATGACGTCCGCGAGTGCCGGCTTAATTAAATCGAAAACGTTCGCGTCGGCGCGATTTATTTATCGCGTCTCTCGCGAGAGATAAGACGAGGAGAGTGGCGAGGGGAGCCCGGAGAAGGCGAAAACGAAGGAAGCGACGGAGCTTTTTATCATCCAACGATAGGTGCGCGCGCAAACGCCTGATCGAATTCGCGGCTTCGACGTGACCGTGGGTTGATAAAAGCCGTTTTGTCCGTGCGGAAGAAGTTACCACGTGCGCACGTGGCCGAATACCGACCGAAGAGTTTAAACCGCGCGTTACGATGCGACGCGTTGCGACGCGATGCACGCGAGTGCGTAAGTGCATGCGTGCGTGAGTGCGCGTGTGTGCGCGTATTCGCGTGCCGCGCCGTGAAAGCTGTAATAATGCGAATAGCAGCGTCGGAACTACGCGAAATTACGCGAAATCGGCGCGTCCGTGCCTCCGTGCCGTGAAATTAGTTCCATCGAGGCGCGTCGATGTTGTTGCTGTTGTTGTTGCGCGAGCGCACGCATAGCCGGCGTGCGTTATATTCCCGGGATGGTAACGAGTAGGATTAAACGGAGCCCGGACGAGAAATTTCGGCGATAATTGTCCGGGCAAAGAAGTAGACCGAATTCGGAATATTGATCGCGTTACGCGCAAGTACACGGCACACGCCGAAATTGGGCGAATTAAGGCGGAAAATTGATTTTAATTGGAAGCAACGATTTGTGTTAGGGTCGAAGGAGTAGTTGTTGTTGGGTGATTTGAGGAAATTATAAATACGTCGATACGACGCAAAATTTTACGTAATAATCAATACGCCTGGTATCCCGAGCTGAGAATTCGCCGCATTTAACGTTGAACGCAGACTAGTGCGAAGTCAGGGGGGACAGAGAGAGAGGGAGATGCGGGAAGTACGGAAACCTCAATGTGGGTGAATTTTTACGAATTTATTCTAGAACCACCGCGAACAGCGCGCGCTTTCGCACGTTTTGTTTCGCATATTGTCATATACGTGCGTGCGGTGAAATATAAGTAGAATGAAGTTAGAAACGCGGCCCGTACGCTCGTCGGCAAAAGCCATTGGATGCCAACGGCGCGGAATGAACGCGTTGCACTATTGGATACTGTTGCGATATGTAATCGAATATTATTCATAAAATGTGCGGAAGCTACAGTACGCTGCAGCATAAACACGGGCTGAAAGCACGGGCTTTCCGCTCGCAAGCCGAGCGTGACATCTATGTAAACATATTTCGCGATGTTTCTCTGCGTAATACGCAGGTCTGCCTGCCTCGGAAAAGAATTACGAACGTGAGCGACTTTGCCGTTCTGCCCTTTCAATAACTACACGGAAATTACTTACCGGTGACGGAAAAAAAAAAATAAAAGAATTATTGTCACGAGATTTTAATATTTTAATAGTCGCGAGATATTAATATTCGCGGACGCGATTTATCATCGATTCCAAGAGAAAGATTATCTGGACCGCTTTTGTGTAACGGTATCACGTTCACTTCGTATTATTAACAATGCGAAACGTGATTGAGAGAGAAGCGTGGTTCTCGAATCGGCGTACTACAAAGAGTGACGGTTTTAAAAAGGCAAACGCCCGGCAATGATTAAATGATTAGACTGTGCGATAGCGAAGATTAAAAGGCTTCGACGTTGCTTAATTAATTTCCCAATGGCGAGTCCCTCCTTTCAAATGGCAAAAATTCAATCGGAGCCTCGATTATCGTGGCTGCGCCAAATCCGCACGCGCGCACAGGCAGCCGAGCTGCGCACGTGCACCTTCGCAAAGGGACTATATCGAGAACTAGAATTAGCAACGGACATTTAAATTTCCATTTAGAAAATTCTCAAGCGAGATTCGATCGCCCGAACTATCTTCATTGTCATGCGAGATCGGAAATACTGATAGTAATAAATGATGCATTTGGCATTATATATTTAATGCAGGTGTACGTATGTATAAGACGTATATATAAATGTGAATTATAACGTGATTAACAATTGATGTGGAAGAATCTCCAAAATTGAAGAAGCTCGAGACTTTCGTCAATATACGACCTCGAGTGTGATATTCCAAACGATATATGAGCTATACAAAGTAATGCCATATATCTTGGGTCCATCGCTAGTAGCAATAAAGAGGGAAAGGGAAAAAGAAAGAAAGGGGGGAGAGGGGGAGGAAGGGAGGAAGCGAGAAAGAGAGAGAGAGAACACGTGATAGAGGACTCGCTCTTCCCTTCTATCCCCTTATCGCTCTTCCTCTCCTTCTCTCGCTCAGACTGATAACCTCACTCTCGCTCTACAGACAATCGCAAATCGATGCTTTATTTCTCTCCCTTTCTCCCGACCACTCACTCACTCAGTTCTCCTTTCCCAATCCGATATAGCATTCCGGCATAGCTACACCTTTCCTTTTCCCATGCGTTCATGCGTGCATTCAGCTGTCACTCTCACTTCCCCTCTCCCCTCGCCCACGCACTATTTCACATTCCCTCTCTTTATTCGCCGGGCGCACGTCTCACGTCGTGAGACGGGATTCGCATTACTAGTATCATTCTGAAACGTATTCTCACCCGTTCATACTGCCGTCAGCTCCCAGCGTCGACGGGACGGCGCGTTTCTCGGAGGCAGTTGAGAGGTTAGGTCGGACCGCCACCACGTCGGCTGTCGCACGTCGTTGCTCGCCGCTCAGCACGGCTGCGTGTCGGCGTAAAGGAGCGCGCTGCGCGAGAAAACAACAGGTTGCATGTACTACTACCGCTACCCGCCGCCTCTTGTCGACCGATAGGCGCGAGTATGGCGGACGAGTACGTGCGAACGACCGACGGCCACGACGACGAGAATTAACGCGCCGAGTAAACCCGCCGAAACCCGGCGCGACAAGACACGGTCACCGATGAGAGACTCGATCGCGCAATGCTCGTCTCGCACGCGCTTTCTCTCTCTCTCGGCCCCTCTCTCTGCCCTCGCTCCTTCTCCGTCCCTCCCACGCTCTCCGTCACGCTCGCTCTCGCAAGCGCGGATATTACTCGCGAAAACCGTTCCCGTCGCCCGCACCGAGTCGCGTGCACGCGCGAGAAAGGAGCGGCTGCGAGACACCACGATCCCGGACTCGGATTTAGACTCGCGGCCGAGTCTGCGACGCGACGACGGCTCGCGATATGCAGCAGACGTGGGTGCAACGAGACCGAAAGATGCACGATCACGATACTGCCGGCACTCCCGGGGGCAGAGGGGAAACCTCACTACGGAACAACGCGCGAGTCACACGGAACGCACCGAACGTAGCCGCTTACGGGCTGCGCCGGCTGCAAGGTGCATCGTCGCATTCGATGCACGCTATTTCGCGCAGCGTGTCGCCATCTCGCGGCGGACGTTCGGAGATAGACTCGAGTCGCTCTGCGCGCGACTTTATGAAATTAACAGTGACATACGCGCACGTATAAAGTAGGTAACGGTGTGTGTGTGTGCGCGCAATGCGAATATTGAACTTGGATATTTCGTACGATCCGATGCGTGCATCTACGCTATTACGCACGAACGTAAGAGAGGAAGATCGCGCGGATTTCTTTGAGAATTTTCTACTCTATCCGCAGCTGATAAATCGTTGCAACTTGCCTTATCGAGACAAACCAACGATAAAATCTTGTCTTCGCGTTTTCTACTGCATCGGCAACGGCGGTTTCACGACTGATAAAACCCGAGGTCTGTTGGAGATATCGTTCATTGCGATATATTTATGTATGAGCATTCGCGCGAATTTCCGTAAGGCCGCATTGATCTGCAAAAATATCTCCTCGGTGTCACTGATAATGAAAATTGCTTACAAATCCGCGACTATAAATTGACTTGGACTAAGGAACTTGTCAAGGAAACGAAAAGATGTCTCTGTACTTCCTTCTGTCGTAATAATCTTTTATTACATCCAATCGTTGGCAAAGAGTAATTCAAGAGGTAGTTCAAAAGAGACCAATATTTTTCTGCGCATTTATCCTTCGATTTAATATTGATTGTATTAATATTAACTTAACTTATTAATACTTATTAATTTAACTTAACTTATTAATACTAACTCAAACTTATATAATTTTAATGGGCTTTATAAGTGCTACGTACATATTAATCTACATATTTAGTATCGATATTTCTAAAAGAATGGATAATTTCACGTATTCTAAACTGCAAAATTTTTTATGAATCTAGAATTTATTATAGATGATGAATCGCGATTGCGTGAGCGAACATTTCTAATTTCGGTCCTGTTACATGAAATTCACGTCAACTTGCAAACCAGCGGGTTCGACAACTTTGTAGTGTTTCGCAACGACAGCGAATACCGTGTAGTTCGACATGAAGCTCAGATCAGGACACCGTTTATCCCGAACGTAACCGAGGAAAGTAACTAGGCTACCGTGTTCCAGACTACGAGCAGAAATGTATAACATAATATTAGAAATGTCACAATGGACTTTCGTGTCGTCGTTTGTTTCGTAATCGATAGAAAGTCGTAATTTGTCTGGGACAAATAAAAATACGTATTTATTACAACTCGCGCAGGCTCGATGTCTGTTTTCCGTGTTAAAAAAAAAAAAAAGAAAACAGCAATACCACAATATAAATATAAACTTAAGTTGCGCTTTAAAATCGTTCAAGAGAAGTTCGCGTCGGTTTTCTAACATAATAAAGTGTGATCTCACCAACGATTCTCCGGAAAGACGGTCCGCCTTCGGTCTCGATCAACGCGCGTACTTTTCCTCCTCTGTTTATTTTTCTCAGTTTATGTAGCACAAATACCGTTCCTCTTCTTCCTCAAACATGACTATCGCACCGAGATCTCTGCACAACTCGTCTCGCGTCGCTGCGTGTAACTATCGGATAAAACGCGAAGGATGAATCTTCACGGAAAAAACTACTTAATTCATTTACAGTCTTAATTTTCAGCTGTGGAAACTGACAATTAGGCACAGGGACAAAAGGAATTAATTAAATTAACTAAATTTCAGTTGCATTATATGGACAGCTCATTTTTTACCCGCGTGAGAGTTAGTTTTCAGATGTGGGAATTACTTATTTTTTTCCGTGTTTCTATCGCGAAACTGAATTGAATAAAACGGTTTCAAGAGAGTCCTCGAAGAGCAATTTGCGAAATTATCTTCGCTCAGCTATGACAGCCAAGGCGAAACGTGAATGTCTCGTGTTAACGAGAAAGCACTCGTATCTCCGGATGCGAGCTCGACGACCTATCGCCAGCAGCGTCAAGAAATAATCATCCGCGAAGGCCACCTCCAGGGACACTCGTCTTATTAATCTAAACACGTCCTAACATTTACTCGGCGATTATTCTTCCAGGAGGATCCGCTGATGTGACGCGTGGGCGAAGAATAATATCTCGCATGGGTTCCAATTAGCTCGACAAAGTCTAATTTGAAATTCGCGTGTGCCTTCACGCGGGTGTCGCTATCGCTTACACTGGTAGAAAATTACAATTAGTTTCGGCACGAAACATATTTGAAAATATGTAATTAATGACGCTTCTCGAGAAACAGCCTACTTCGTAATGAACAAGACAGCTCTCCGCGAGTCCACCGCACGACGACTTCCTCGCCCACCTGACAGCCTGTGCACTCGTGTGCTAGTCCGCCCATTTCCAGGATCGTACCAGACACCTCCGAAACCTACGAGGATCATGTTTGGCTGCAGGAGTCTGCGTTGCTCACCGCTCCACAGGAGCGCGTCGCTTCCGGCCAGGCCGCACGTCCTTTCGAAACGACCGGCGATTTTCGCCAGGGGTGGCGGACTCGGAAGCAGAGAAAGAGAGCGAACGAGCGTGCTTGAGCGGAGAAAGTATCTATCATTGAATTTCAGCGAAGCGACTTTTAACCTTCGCGCACAGCCGCGAATCGATTCTAAGTGAAAGTGAAATTTTCATAAAACGACGCGTCGGTTTTGCTCGCCTTACGAAATGCCTGGATGAACTTCTACGATTGGACTTCGACGACGTGATGTTGAAACACGTAAAGCGAAGTTTATCGAGAGAAAGAGAGAAGGAAGGAACCGACAGTTGCGTTACTAATGCAGTTTATCTTATCCGCGTGGAAATGTGAATTCCATCCGCAGAACGGGAAGTAACGGAGTTTGTAGCCGGATGGAAAATGCCGCAAGGCTGGGGACTCGATCGCGAGAAGGATGCCGCGAGCCGAGTTTCTCGCAAGCGGATAATAAGTTGTCGCCGAGCACGAGAGACGATTAATAGAAGCGGCGCGGAAGATACTCTCCTCTGAGAGAACCAGTGTCGGCAGAACCGCTTTGTCGGGGATGTATATACTCTGATTACAGGCTGCGCGACCCGTGCGGTACCGCCGCTCGTAGTTTCCTTCCGGTTCGGCAGCGGCTCGATTAGCCTCTTGATCATTTCCAGACACACGGCCGGATTAACGAGCTTTCCATGTATCACATAAATAGCTTGGAGCTTCTTCCGGTCGTGACTCGCGGTTCAACGAGTGTAACTTCATAATTCATAACCTGATGTCCCGGACAGTTTCCTGCGAGTTCTCCCGAGGTCATCGTCTCTCTCTCTCTCTCTCGAGTCGAGCGGAAGAAAAGTGGACGGTCGATTAAGGATGCGTTCGTATTGAATGCTTTCCACTTAGTAATGTGAAGCCGTAATAATTGATAGGCGGAACTGTAACAATATACCGCAGTATATAGCGTAACAGTATTCACCGTCACCATTGAAAATCTGTCATTCATGTTACGAATATTACAGATTTGTTCAGTGCTGGCAGTGAGTAGGAACACAGTGAAATGTTACATTCGTACGCGCGTTGCGCACACTCGTCGTCATTACTTCACGCGTCGCGTGTTCTTCCCGCAAGTTTACCTGCACGGAGGCGACGGAAACGATCGCGCGAGAATCCGAAGAGAGAGAGAAGAGAGCCCTTGGCACGGCCTCGGCGCGTTCGACCTTCTACCTGCTCCTAAGATCCCCATAAGGTTGTTTATCTATTCGCTGCTTTTGGCATTTATCTCGCTCGTTTGTCCGAAGCTAGACTCGCGCGTGCCGGGGCGGGTCGAAGCGGCGGAGGGTCACTTAAGCTCGCGTCGTCATAACTCACGCCTACTCGTTTCCTGTTCCCTGTATCGCGACACCGCGCGTCAGGCCGCCTCATCCTCGCCGAGATGTTCTCCTGATCATGTGAGGCCAAATTGACGCTGTTCGAACCGGCGACGCGCGGCACCTTGCCACCCGATCGCCCTTTCGAGGTCTTCCATCATGCCCGTCTTATATGCTCCTAATCACGTGCGTCAGTTGGTTCAGTTCCTTCCGCTTGTAAAAACTCTCGCGGGCCGATGGCATCCGTTCGAAATTGCACGCTGGTAACATAGAATCGGCCGCGGTCTCGATACCGCTTCCGCGAGGACCATGCGCACGTAGGCGGTGGTGCGCACCTGTGGCTGCGTGTGAGTGCATCGTCGAGTTAGACGACTCCGCTCTCTCCCTCTGTCGCTCTTCCGCGAGGACCGCCACGCTTTTTATAGTATCCTTGGAAACCAGGACGAAATTCATTGGAACCTACTCAACCGTAACTAATTGGTAGCGAGCTCACGGCTTTGGTGCACGGTGGTCGCGCGTCGCGAAGACGGGCCGCGTTCATGGTGCCCTGGTGGGGTGCAGTCTGAGTTTGGTATCAAATGGCCGCCGATGGTAGGACCGGTCACGAAACGAAACAACCAGCTCGCGTCACCTCGCAGGGTGAGACGGGCCGCACCATTGATGTTTTTCACGTTGAAAACAGGCGAACGTACACGTACGCGTTCGTCGCGCGGAATCGACGGAAGTGCGAACGAAGGCCTGTCCGGGAGTGAAGCGTCCTTTTCAGGGAGTCTCAAACTGCCGGGCGGGAGAAGTCGCGATGTCGTCTTCGCGCCTCGTCGCCCTCCGCGCTCTCGTGCACTCCTGATCGGCCGGCAGTCCCACTTTCTTTCAAAGCCGCTGGAGCGGCAAATCTTTTTACCCTGCGGGGGATTAACAAAGGGCGGCCGATTAGGCACTCATGAGCGATCCTGAGGCCTGATGCGATCCCGATCTTTCTGGAACGGTCTTCAGGGACGAGTCGCACCCTTCGACGCGCTCACCTCCTCCGACGTGCGGTGCAGATCAATAGCGGAATTAAGCTCGATGCTTTGCTCGGAGCCGATCGTGTCACTTGCGATTGCACGCTCGACGGATACATCTCGCATGGGGAGACGCAAC